CTTCTGTGCCCAGCCAGGTTTCAGTAATACATGCCAGGTCTGCCCTCTCGTCAACAATTAAGTCCCTTCGCTGCCCTTGCATTGGAGACGGCCGGGATGCAGTAGGGCACTTGTAGAGGATCTGGAACCTTTAAAAAAAACGACCACTCGGGTTGATCGGGATTTTTATTTACAAAAAAATGCTGGATTCCTTGAATGCCCACGCATGTGCGCAATGCAGCTAGGCGTGGGGAGCTCCGGGTCGTGCATGCTTGGGATGACCCGGCCATGGAGGGGCAGTGGCAGCAAGCCAGGCGGGCAACCCACTTGCTGATGAAGACGCGCTGGACGCGGCAGGGGCCCACGGCTGGCTGGGAGCACAGCCAGCCACTGCTGCAGGGATCGGGTGCTGCTGGGTCCCTGCGGTGGCAGCAGCAGTTCCCAGTTGGGACCGGGCGCCCTTAGCGTAGCAACCCCACATTGCTCATAATCTTGCGGCTCCGCGCGAAAGGGCTGAACGTGGAGTCTAGTGCTTGGCAGCGTGCAGCTGCCACGCAGCGTCCAGCCCTGCAGGCCGCCCTCCCGGCGCACAGCCACTAGTCTATAGACAAAGATAGACCTGGAAAAATGAGTGAAAATGTTTGCAAGAGGAAGCCACGTGGTGGAGCCAAAAAAGGGGCGGGGCACCCTTTCTACAAATATCGGGACTTTTTAAAAACGCCATGGGATGCGGGACAAATTATTAAAAATCATGACTGTCCCGCCAAAAGCAGGAGGTCTGGTCACCTTACGTTAAATCTCAAATCCTTGGAAGCAAAGAAACCTTACAATGAGCACAAGGCAGAAGTGGGTTTCTGCCGGTTCACCCTGGATCAGGCAAACTGGTAGTGGCAACAGCAGGAGGCTCGGCCCACCCACCCGGATGTTTCTGCTCGTGCGCAAACCGGTAGTAAAATAAATTGTAATCCATTACTAGCACCAGGCTTAATTAATGCAAAACAAAACCAAAGATCTGAGTTGGTGATTCCGCGGTATGTTTGTGCAGCTATTGAAATTTTTTTGGCCTTAAAAAAAATTTTTTTTCATTTCATGTGTAAAACAATTTTCTGATTGACACATAGACTGTATCAGGTGTGGGTTTCTACTGGTTCGGACCAGTTTTGCCAAACCGGTAGTAGTTTGGCGGCCTGAGTCGCTGGAACTGGCAGTGACCCAGACCTGCCATACCCAAAACCAGTTCTCCTACAGAGGTGCCATCTTGTTTTTTGCTTCTGCGCATGCCCAGAGTGATTTTAGTTGTACTGTGCATGCGTGCATAGCATGCATGAAATGCGCACAACACGTCCCTGAGTGAACCAGCAGTAGTCTCTGCCACAACCCACCCCTGGTATGTTTCTTAATTGACATCTCATTCAGTATTGGCTCAAAACATATAACGAAAATTTAAAAAAAGTATCTATGATGGATTGAAGAGGGAGGTGGTGTAAAGACCATGATGATGTGGCAGTTTCCCAGGAAGGAGGAAGCACATTTCAAGAAGGGCAAAGAGGCAACACAAACCAGAGCTGGATGCAAGAAAGAGATTTAGGATAGCTACTCCCTAGAACCATCCAGGGGTAAAATAATATAGGCTTATTCTGGCAAGATTTTGTCTATATAGTATGAGCAAATAAAGAACTGAACTTTGGCTGGATTGTTCTATGTATGTCAATCTTGGAGTACGCCTGACAACAGCTTGCACTGTCACTAACAGCTTTGCGTATGTGTGTTGATTTTTTAGACATTGACTTTAGTAGCGTCACAGTTTGATAATTTATTTTTTTATGATTTTTCAGAACAATAAAAAATTAAGACCTTCATGATTCACACATTTATTATAGTAGAAACTTTGTTAATCTCTTACTTAATTCATTGTTGTGACTAGTCTCAAAAATATGAATAATTTACTGCTTTACACCTAGCTGACTTTAACATTTTGACTACTATTACAGCCCTGTTTGATGTTAAGTCTGTTTTAACTGAGAGGATACCAGCTCCACTTGCTCAGTTCCTACATTTTATATTCCAACTGCTTGGAAACTTTGGTTTTAAAAGGCCTTATGGGCATTATCTCTTTTTATTAACTAAAACTAGCATTCTAAGTATTTTATTCAGGAGCAAGAGTATAACTCTATACATAAAAGAACATTATGCTAAATTTTTTAGACTTGGCCTAGATTCACATATTCACTTTTTCATATATTCAACTTTTTCACAAGAAAGTTAATATAATGAATGCATATCTAATCAGATTGCTTGGAGCCTACATACAGCTATGTTAAATTTATTGTTTAAATCAGTTAAACAATATATGCTAATTTAAGATATTTTATACATTCTCTGCTTATAATTTAGCATACCAATAATAATAGAATACGTATTATATATCATATGCAATAGATTACAATTACATATCATTCAATATATTCATTCATCAATTAATTGCCTTTTTTTTTCTTTTTGCCTTATATGGGTTTTTTTTTAGCCTGTTTTGTTCTATTTTTTCAGATTTTATTAAATTTGGAGGTTTTATCCTTGCATCAGTCTGCGCCTGGTATTTGGGGACAATATTGGCATATCTCATACCTCAAGCATCAACATTTGACCAGTTGCTTCCAGACAAGCCAAAAATTTATAGTAAGTGATCACATTTTCAACATATGTTCAGGACGCACTCAGTTTTCTTTTTTGCATCTGCCAAAAAATGACTGTGTTCTTTTACGTTACCTAAGATTTGAATGGCTGGAGTATGGATTTATGTAGGTTCGTTGTCTCCTTTTGTTTCTGAAATCTTTGAGCATTGTCTGCCACATATGCAATTCATGTTTAGTTAAAGCAAACAGATGTATAGACATAGCGTTACCCACCTTAGCTGTATTTCATTGGATGCACCTTCTCAAGGGCAAGATGCAGCAGGAAATGGAAGATAAAGGCAGGAAATGCATTTTTGCAGCTGTTGCAGCTTAACAACACTATATAATTTATATTCTTGCTAGTTTTTGATTTGCCAGGTAGCGCTTTGTTTTGCTAAAGGGGAACTTATACTTTTTAGTAAACCCACCCTGCAATGTCCAAATCCAAAGAATGTAAAATCAAGATAGCTGAAACAGTGCAGTTAAAGCTCCAATTTTGCACTGTAGCCATCTTGATTTTTGCAGTTGGGTAACAGCATGAATATTTAGGGTGGGGGGAGAATTAAATTGTAGGTGTGAGGAATACATAGTTTTCCTGGGAAGACAACAAGATAAAAAGATAAGGAAATAAATATTTATCCAAAAAGTTAAATAAAAAAAATATTTTTAAAAATGTCAGTAGACAAATATTAACATTAATTGTTGAAAACATAGAGATAAAGATTGATCAGCTGAAAATGTTCAAGAAAAATCTAAAATAAAATAAAAACTTGTGGCCCACTATTAGATAGCAATGTTAGGTATTTGAAATTAAAACTGTGAATAACAGGGCAATTTCTCAGAGAAAATTACAGTCTCCAGAATAACTTGTACTGATAAATAAGAATGTAAGACCATGAGATTTTCCATTACACAAAAAACATTCATTAAGAATCTTAGTTAAGATACTGAAATAAAATCATTTTGAAGCAAAGATCGACTTTGTTTTGAGAAACTATATGCCATGATATCTGTATTAGCTCTTGGAAATTACTTAACTAGACTTTCTTCTATGCAATCTCTTCCAAACTTAGTTCCTCAGGTGTTTTAACAGTGTATTAATCACACCCATTTACTTTGATTTTTCCCAATCTTTCCCTGCATCACAGACTTATTGAGCTAGTCCTTCATTTAATGTATCCAAAATATGATACATTAGGAATTGGATACGAATTTCCATCCTGTTGAAAATTGTGTTGTTTTCCAAATTTTCTACATAGCACAGTTTGGTTTAAACCTCTACTGATCTTTATTCTGCTGCTTGCTATATTTCTGTAAATATATTTCCATCATTTCCTACACTCTTCCAGCAATGTCTGGAGAGATGATCCAATTTTATCTTATCTTACCAAAGGTTCCGTAATATATGACATCTCTATTTTATGTTTTTAATTTTTTTAAAATGTCTATTTCTTCTTTATGTTTAGAATCAATATGATTTTTTTTACAGTTCAATCACTGGTGTATTAAGTTCTAGTTGTTATATTGCACCAATAAAAATGTAAACATAATTATAGTGTCAAGATCTTGACCAATGAGGCTTTTCAAAAAGATCTACAATAATGAAAATAAAATATTGTGCAAACAAATTAATCTCTTGTTTATACTGTATCTATTAAGAATCAATTGCAAATGTGTGGCCTCCAAGATTACTTCTCTGTTCTCTATTATAGTGCCAGCCCCCAAAAGACAGAAATGTGATCACTGGTCTCCGTGTTCGCCTGGAAATTATGCTTATCGCATGCTCAGTGGAGGTGGGAAGGAGAGATTTCCCAAAATCTGTTTTGAAGATAAATTGTAAGTATTTAAGGCCATGTTGACATTGCAAATAACTAAGATACTTTGACATTCAGTAGCTATTCTCACTATAAATTCTGGAAGATAAAATCCCAGCTCTTTAGAAAGGAGATCAGAGGTAGAGCTTTATGATTCCTATACCAATGATTATTAAACCATAGTTTTAAAAAATTATGAGAATTTCATCTAGACAAGACTTTCAGAGCAAAACCTTTCTTTAAATTCATGTGATTCTGAAATTTCCATCACTCTATTAAAATAATTATCTAAAATATGAAGTCAGACAACAATTAACTTGCTATAATTGATAATATAGGAAAAGGTTTCTCTTATATTGATACTGCATATTTATTTCAATTTCAGACTCATAAGTGAACAAGATGGAAATGCTGGGAGAGGAATAAATATTGCAATTGTAGACTGTAAGTAAAAAACCTATAACCTAAGAACTATAAGCAAATTCATGCAAGCTGTCACTACCACATGTTTTCTTCACTTCCCAAACTTCCAACTTTCTAAAGGTGTGAGATGTGCAAAGGAATTTCAGAAAGAAGAGAAATGTATTTCATTGACAGATACCATTAAATATATGTTTCTTTCATTTAAAAAAAACTAGAGCTTCTAGGGGAGGTGTGGTGATTTGATGACGGTTCTACAAAAGCAGAACCAAAGGTTACAGCAAAAACCAAGAAACCAGTGAGTAGATCAGTTCTTTGGAACTTTTCTGGATAGAGAATGGGAGATCAACCACATTTGATCTGCACAGTTGTTCCCCGTGAAGAGACTGTAGGACAAGAGTTTTCTGTAGATTTGAGTGATCAGGGAGGCAACAGGATCTCCCAAACTCTGGTACAGACTTTTAAAAGATACTAAATTTGCAAATTTCACTTTGTAATCTCTTTCATAAATTGCTCCTTAATTACTTCTAAGGTATTAGAGGCTTTTTTGGAATGACAAGCTTGAAAACATTGAATGAGTCTGCCTTTAATCATGAGTGAAAGAAAGCTTCAATTATAAGCTTGATAATTTAAAAAATCTGAAATAAGCAGCAAAAAAACGGAAAAGATTTTGATCTTATAAATGGATTAAGGGTTCATGTAAAATTAGAATATTGAAACTTTTTTGACTTTGGAATTAATTATAAAGTACAAACAGCTTCTTGTGGGAAATAGATTATGTTTTGGTTTTTACAAGTTACAGCATAGATAAGTAGTTCCATGGTTTTAAAAAGGAGGAGCTAAAGGTTTTAGATAGAGGAAAAATATACAAACCTATAAATTAATGCAAAACCTGATAACAATTAAAAAAACTGATGGAGACTTTTGAAAAATGGAATGAGAAAATGGTAGCCATGATAGCAACAATGTCAGTAATAATATCTGCTTCTAGGGAGACTTTGTCCAAAAGATGTGAAGAAATGTTAGTTGTAGAATAATCTGATATTTTCTGATAAGATAGAGATTGTATTAAAAGAGGATTCATAACTGATATGCCAATACAATGATTTAGAAAAAGATAGTTCATTAGATCTATAAAAAATACTGGCTGAGAATTGAGAAGTTAAAAAGAAAATACAATTGACACACCAAGAGAATGACCTGGATGGTGGTTGGTTTTTTTCTACTAGATTTACAAAGAAAGCTTGTTAAACCTTGGAAGAACATTTTGCAATGGGACAAAGAAGGAATGAAGGAGAAATCAAATCTTATGACAATATTAGAATGAACAAAATATTAAGCATGTTAGAAGTAAAAGGAAGAATAAAAAGTTGTTCTTTTGATCAAGATTAAAAGAAGATACCGTGGTAGAATGTAGTCTGATTCCCAGGAGGAAGCAGCTGCATTCAAGAAGGCAAATAACAAACAAACAGCAAAGTATAGATAGTTTGGTCAGGAAAAAGAGAGTTAAGAAGGTTTCTCCCTAGCTGGTGGACATGTGATAAAGCAAATACATTTTGGAGTAAGATTCATATTATAATACGGAAAATTCTTAAAATGAAAATAAAAACAAAACCAGAAACTTTTCTTTTGGGTTTAATGGAAAAAAACTCGGAGAAAATTTTTGGAACTTTGATCTTATATATGTTGACAGCAGCAAGACTATCATATGCATAAAAATGGAAGGACTCTTCAATTCCCACTGTGGACAAATGGCTACAGAAGCTGATGGAGTTGACAGAAATGGCTTAAATTGACTGTTTTGGTTAAAGGAAAGAATATAAGTACTTTTGTTTCCACCTGGGTTTTACTGATTAGATTGATATGTTTTTATAGAAATGGCTAGTTTATATTATTATTGAAAAACAAAAAGTTGTGGTTTGATGTTAATGCTTTTTTTTACAATAACAGAGAGTGAGAAGTCAATGTTTCTTCTTTTCTTTTCCACAGTTTCTCTTCACTTTTCTCTCCCCCCCCCCGTGTCTTCCTATTTACTTTTGTATTTTATATTTTATCTTATAACCTAATAAAAATGGTAAACTAAAAGAAGTCCCCTTCCTAGCACTCCTCTGAGTATATCTGTAGTAATGCAAATAGTTGTTTTAGTTTGGCACAGTTTCTGTCTATAGGTGAGGAGCGATAAAGGAAACTGTTCAGGGATAATTCTAGGTGTCTTTCTTGATTGTTGAGACCTGACAGATATGTGCTCTATAATGCAGGAATCTATATAAAAATAAGGTAGACTAGGGACAAGGAACACATGACAAAAGATATATCATAGTGCAAACTCTACCCCTTATATACTGTACTAAGTTCTGACATTATGACATAATGAATAGGTCATTGTAACAGCATGAGGCACACTTAACCATTTTATGTGCTTGTCGACTCTGATTTTGTGTGTTTTGTGTATTGGGATAATGTCTGAACACCATATCCAAATGTAAACCTTTTTTCTGGTGATTGCACTAGTTATTGTGAACTGCCCTTAAAGGTTTGTTCATCAAAGGACTTGTATTTGATAAATAATAACAGTGCCAAGTGTATTTTAGTCAGACTATATATATCAGTTAGATTTTTCCATTGTTAGAGCCAAGTGGAAGATCAGCAAAATCAATACTTTGCCAACACAGGAATTGAATAACTTCTTATTAAGGTTTTCTACCAGCTCATATAAAGAAACTAAATATTTGGTTTGCAGCTTTTTGAATGTAACACTAAAATAGTTTTCGCCTCTTCCCCACACCGTTCCAAGTTGGATGAGGGGAGGTTAACTGAAGCATCATGTTACTAGCCGAGATGTGATGGCTTTGCTCCTGACTCTTTGTATTTCTCACCAGTTTATTTATATATACACATATATACATATTGTTTCTTTTAGATAAGACTGGAAAAGTTGCTGCTACAAATTATTTTGACATGTGGGAAGGAGGTAAGAAGCTTAGCTCATGTTTAGCATCAGCTTATGAGTCCAATATCTCTGTGATGAAGTACATCTGAATGATTCATGTATCATGTATTTACATCTGCAACCATTTACTTTTGGTCATGATCATGGATATTTAATTTGGAGTGTTTCCTGACCATATAATCATATAAGTAACCTGCTTTACTTATGGGATATCATCATCATTTACTTGTAAACTGTTTTTTCTATATAGGAAAGAGATTAGTGGATTCCCGTTCACTCCCTACCCAGGGTCAGGAAATCTACCAATTGCTTCTCTGGCCTCATTACTGAGGCAAGTAGAACAGATGATTGGGGCGAGCAAATTTTCCTGGCACTATTTTCCTAGGTGTACTTTCAGTGCTAATGTCCTCTCCATTAAAGAGCTCTGAGGAGGAAAATAGAAGGGTACTCACCATTTATTTCTGTACATTTGAATAGGAGCCCATGTTCCAATATATCCCAGAATGGAGCTTACTAAGCAGTGGAAACCAAGTTCACACAAGTTTTTTTCCACACTATAAAAATGAGTTGATTGGGGGGGGGGGGGAATCAATCAGGTGTTTCGTACAGATGTAAAACTGCCCAGAGTTCAAATATTCTAAGTGGAAATAAATTGATTTCAAAATCCAGTTTGCAAACATGTTGAGGATAAATATGCTAGCCATTGTCCACATGCTAATTGGCTGTTTATTTGTGAAAAAGACATGAGAATTATTTTATGATAATACAGCACAACTAGCTATTAAAATATTATGGGCATTTTTAATAGAGCACATAAACATTATTTTCTACCAAGCAGATATTAGTCTCAATATGTTGAAAGGCAGAGAAGCGAGGAACAGGAAGAACAGAATATTGCAATGATTTTGAGCAGACTGTTTAAACTATTCTAAATTTTCTGGTAGTTGTTTGGATGTTTAACTAAAATTCCATTTTAGAAAGTATTTCCTCTGTTACTCCTTTGCCTTCAGCAGAAAAGAATTGGATGGAATGGAATATCTCTATCAATGTTATTGTTATTTTAAATTACCCACAGCTTTCCATTGTTTACAACAGGAGTAAAAACCATTTTGGTGGCCAGGGGTGTACATGAGTGGTGAGAAAGGTAAAAACAAGTCAAGGGATATGACACCTTGATCAAAACCTCTGCCCTCATTATGTGTGCAAACTTAATAAAAAGAGCAAAGATTCAATTCTGCCCGTCATCTTCAATTTTTATTACCTAAGGCACTCATGCGGCCAAAGGCCACATTTATCATTTGGGCTTAACTGAATATTTCAAAGTGAGGTGGAATGGTATGACACACATGGACATGGCTGAGGGTCTGAAAAACATCAGGTTTTATGTGGGTTTTAAAACTGTAAGCTGCCTATTTTATGGCTTACAGTACAGTATAAAGTTGATGTATTTGTCAACTGACAATAGGAGGTTCTCTAGGGAAAAGTGATTTGCTGAGGTAGCTCCTATCCAATGTTCTTGCCTAGCCTTTTAAAGTAATATCAATATTCTTAATGTTATTGCGCTTTAATATTGTTATTTTATTGTTTTATGTATGCTGCCCAGAATCACTTTCTCTGAGATGGGTTGACCATATAAAAATGATTTATGAATAAATAAAAATTAGTGTAAGTGTTTTTGGGCAGGAAAGGGAGGAGCAATGACAAAAAATGGATTGTGATATCCCATCACAAGTGTATGAATCATGGTATTAGGTCCAACATTGGGATGTAAATAGAAAAAAACTTGGGGCTACATTAAGCCATAATTACACATCTTTTGTCTTTTTTTGTTATTGTTATTGGTACTGAAAATATATGAAAACAAGGCCTCTCACCCATCTGTGATTTAGAGTCTCCAAATTATCTGGAGCAGAACTACAGGCTGTGCAAGATAAAGGAGAGGTTGCTTTTCTATCTGTGGAAATGGAAATGTGATGTCTTGGATCTCATTTCTCAGAAAGAAATATAATTGAGGCTTCATTTGTAATGTATTTCTCTAAGGGTTTTCCCCTCACACCAACAGAATTCTCTGGACCAATGACAGATTTTATTAGCGAAGCTCCACAGAAATCTCTAATCTTTATGGTGACCCATGATGATGGAAGTACAAAGTAAGTAAAAGATTTAGACTTCTATTCAGTCTTACAAACTTACAAATACACAAAAATGATCAATTTTTTTTATCAGTTTTACTCTCCAGTGTTGCCAAATACACATTGCTATGGATTTTCTGTCATAATTATGGTAGAAGCTTGTTTCTAACACAATTTTGTAATCTTTTAAACACTGCCTTTTTCTCCAAAGCCATTGCTTCAAATGGATATCCAAGACTTCCCATTTTTAAATAGTACTGACATTGTATAGTAAATTCCACAGAGATGTTTACTACATCTCCATTCACTACAAGGTTACTAACTGTAGTATTTTAATTGGGTAATGTTATTAATAATGTTATTTTATTATGTAAAAAGTGTTAATATTCCAAATTATTTCTTGTATATTTTTTGTTGTATCCTTTATAATTTTTCTCATTTGCACAAGTTTGAAGGAAGGAGTTAAAAGAATGAAGCACTTGAGCTTCATGATTTCATATTTCTTGAATTTGAAAGTCTCCTATAGATCTGATGCTAGATTATAGATTGTAATATTTGATCAGGGTTTTCAAGCTGAGTTTCCTCCATACTTGTTGATTCCATGACACTAACAATTCTCAACTATAATGACCACATTTGGACAGAGTCAGTTTTGAGTAAAGCTATCCTACAACTTCTTTCTGGCCCTAGATAATCAGAAGGTGGCTCTGCCATATATATAAGCAGGAATATACGTCATAATAGCTGCTGATTTTCCTTTTGAATCACAAAAGGCCACATTCAAATTATTCTCTTATTTCTTCCAGGTTAAAACAGGACAGTAAAAAAGCAATAGCAGAATTGGGAAGTGAAGAAATATGGAACTTGAAGTTTAGGTCAGGCTGGGTGTTTTTAGCTGCAAAAGGTTTTAAATTACCAAAAAATATACAAAAGGAAAAGGTAAGAATTGTTTAAACTAATAACCTCCAGAGTACAATCCTGTGATTTTTGCATGTGATAGATGAGCCAATAATGTGAAAAAATGATTTTTAATTAATGTGTCTGTTTCCTTAACTGCCATTGAGTTTTACTTAGATCAGGCTATCAGACAGAATGATAAACTTCCAGCACCTCTGAGGGCCAGATTATCCTATCCAACACGTAGGTCCTGTTTACAAGCAGTCTCTTTTTTCCTCTATGGGTGGGATTAACAATGATATTCCTCAGAAAAGCAGGACTGGGTTCTTGTTTTGTTTTGTTTTGAACAAATCAGTAATTGAAAAATCTGTGTGGAAAAACCTGTCCTCACAGTCTGTCTCCCCAAAAATAGTTAATGGTTTTTAGTTTAGTAAATAATAGAAATATTTCCTTTCTTAATGTATTATAAGGCCATACACTGAATTACAATTTGTATGTATCTTTTTAAACAGATAATTCATTCTGACAATAGTAAGAATCGATACAATGGATGGCCAGCTGAAATCCAGATTGAAGGCTGTATTCCAAGAAACCTAACAAGCTGAATTCTAATATTTGCAAAATAGCACACTGCACATTTATTTATATGGCACTATTTGCTCCAAAAAGCTGGCTGTCTAAAGCTGCGGACAAAAAAAATATTCTGGATAAAATCTATTTGAAACACTGGATTCAATTGCAGAGTTGATTTTTATCATGAAGAGTAAATAATTAGAGACACGTCCCCTTCCCCCACATCTGCTCCGTCTTCTCCTTTCAGGATATTGGGTTGCAACACCTATCATTTCCAGCCACCACAAAAGAGCTGGAATTTTTTAAAATTATGATCTCAGTCATCTGACACACCAAGCTTGGAAAAGGTGAAAAAGAAAAGTATTTTCCTATTGATGTTTTATGTTGTCACTTAGAAAAGCAATGTATTGAAAGCAAAGTAATGCCCCACCAATGTGTATTTGTAAAATTGCTCTCTCTGTGTGTGTATATGCCAGAAAGCTCACTAGAGCTAAAAGAGGCCCACCCATGCACCCAGAATCAGTACCTGTGGTTTATGAGATAGTACAAAAGTATGCCCAGGTAATTTGCCCTGTCCCAAATACTAGATCTCTACCATGAAACAAGATGAGGGCTAGTACTCCTGACAGCTTTCCGGTGGTGCAAAGAAATATGATGGATTTTCTAATGGTGGGGAAAATATTCACCAACTGCTGCCCCAACATAATCAGATTTGGGGGGGGGGCGTTTTAAACAGATCATTAGAACTCTGGGTTTAGCATCTGTCAGAACCTGATCTGCAGGGTAAATGGAGGCTTTTTTTGTTTTTCCTGATTTACCCCCAAATCATTACTAGGTGATGATTGATCATTGACGAGATGATGAAGCATTCCATCCCATCCAACAAACTACCTTTCTCTTTCTTGGTTTCTTGCTAAAACTCTTTGCTCTCCTGGTTTTCTTCCAGGAAAAGGAAAAGAAAGTGTGACTTTTGCTCACTTATCTCTCTCCCTGTCTTGTTCTTTCTGTTTGGATTCCTCTGTTTCTCTCATATTCTGTCTCTCTGGAGCTCTGTCAAAAGCAACACATCCATCTGTGGGAGGAACTCAAAGGCAGGCAAATAGTGCAAGTAGTGTTGTGCTATTGCAATGCAAGTTCTGGCCTTTTGATGTGCACTGTGAGATTGCATGCACTTATCGAATATGTAGAGTTTATATTGCAATAGTGCAACACTGCTTTTGTCATTTGATGGTAAAACTGTGTGAATGCCCTCTGGGTCTCATTTACATTTTATCATTTGCTCTATTGCTTTGCCTCACTCTCTCTTTTGCTCATTTGCTCTTTTACTTGTTCTCTTTCTCACTATCTTGGTTACTCTATCTAAAAACAGCTGCTAGCTGGCCCTCTGATAAATAGTGACAGGCAGACTCCCCCCACTTTTTTTTAGCTTGACTTCCCTGCTGCTCCCTAACCTTAATGCAGTAAAAATGGTAGCCCTGGCCACTTTGAAAAATATTAGACTTGCATTATTCCAAATGCATGTAAATAGCATTTTTAAAGGAATAAATATTTAAATTAATTTAAATAATTTGCTAAGGGAATTCCCACTTACTCTTTTGAAAATTTCAGAGGCAGTTACCAGGACAGAAAAGTATGGATTGGTATACTGCAACAATAGGCAGCTAAGAGGAGCTGGACAGATTCCAGCCCTGACTGTGTCAATATCATAGTTGTTGCCAAAGCACCCCAAGTCATGGTAGCAAGGATTGGGTAGGGAGAAGATGGAAAACATCACATCATTTCAAATGAATGTGCAATGAGGAAACCTCTGTGATGAAGTAGGAATGAGACACAGCTGAATCATAAGGTATAACAAGCAATAAATAACCTTAAGTAATAATTACTGAAACATCTTTAAGCTGCATTTAAAGAACATCTAGATGCATCCCCAATTTAGCAGTCAACAAATCAACAATGAAGCTAGTTTAGAAATCACTTTTTAAAAAATCACTATGTTTTAGTGCCCTCTTCTCACGCCTAGTTATAAGAACCTTTCATGACCACTGTTCCCTCTAAGGTGCGCGGCTACGCGGCCGCACACGTTGCAAGAAAACCCCACGCAGCAGTTTCTATCTGCCGCGCAGAGATTTCTGTAAAGGAAACGTGTGGAAGTCCTTTGCAGGTGGCTACAACTGGATCTGGCAGTGCTGTTGGAGGAGGAGGAGGCGAACCAGCCTGTCACCGCCGGCCACCGCCAACCCCACCACTCTTCCCACCCCCTTCCCAGCCCCACAGTCCAGCGGTCGCAGCAGAAACAGCCCCGGGTCTCTGCTGCTGCTCCCCGCATTTTCTGGACAGGGGCTCGCAGGAAGGAATCCCCGCTCCAAGGGATTCCCGTCCA